CTAGTTTCAGTTATTTTGTGCCTGAAGGAAAATGGTAATTTCAGTCGTTACAACATTAATATAAGACTAACACTAGTTTAATCACTATTGTTAACAATAAGAAATATTGTTAACAATTGAATTGACATCAAACACATAAATTTAGAATTGGCACTAATCGTGAATATTTAGAATCTTCATTATTTTATACCTCACTGGTGGCCCATTGTACATCATTAGCATAATAGAGTGTATTATTAGAAAAATGATAATAGATCATCATCCATAAAAAACCCTGTTACTAAATTCTAATTCACGTGTAAAAGACCGTACTTACATGTACGCATTGCGTTAGGTTAACTTTCAAAATTTACATTTAATAAAATTTATGGTCCGTTACAAAGCGACAATGGAAACACTACTAGAGTTGTTAAAGCATTCATGGTAACTTGTCCCGGTATCTTTACATCTTTCATCCGAAACTTAGACAAACTTGCTACCAACAACCCTATTCGAGGGTGACATAAAAGACGCCCGGAAGATACGATCCCCTGTGCACGTCAGTTGCCCAGACAATGAATGTGCTATCGTTTAAAGTGATCTGTGATTAAAAGAAAACGTTCCAGCTAAACCTATAAGATTGTGCTTAAGATCTTGAGACCATTTTAACCAGGGATTGAATCAGTGAGTGAAAGATATTAGTTTTCTAATTTTGGCATTATGTTAATGATGCAGTTTACTCCAGTCTGGCAATGATTGTACATACCTGATCAAATTTCAAATAAAATTGAACAATTTTAAATATTGTTCTGTGTAAAAATTGATTTACAAATACCCCAATACATTAATCATAAGATAAATATGTTGAGAATTTATAATGGATTCATTATTATTAACTGCAAAGTTTCAGAGATAAATTATTGTTTAAAGGAATTATTGTTTAAATTACAATTCGGAAATGTTTGTAAATAATTCACTTGCATTTTATATAGCTATAATATTAAAACCTTAAACTGTCCACTGCTGAACATAAACCTCCCTCTTGGGAGTTTTGCCGATAGTTGCCATGCTTTACAGGCGAAAAAAGAAAGGGGTGGCTTATTCTATATCGGGACCACACGGCAAATTGATTATATTGGTCGCCTGTTAATGTTGTGATAATTAAGTCTATTGTTTTCCTTTGTTTTTTTATTACAGCACATGTGACCGCACCACACATAGACAACACGTTTCATAAATGCGACCAACTAAAAAGATTGATTGGTCATACTATGCCGGCTTACTGAGTTCTTTTTCACGTTAAATTCGAAGATTCCAAAGTTATGGGATGAAAGAAACCCGTCACGGTAAAGGCAATTTCACATTATTACGGTACATTTTAAATAAAAGTTGTAACATAAATATACTTTTTGCATATCAAGTAAATAAATTACCTTTGGAGTAATATGTAAATTTATTTATCAATGTTTAATCGTTTTATTTATTTATACCATCCTATTTTAGTTGGCGAATAACTTTCCCTTATTCGTGTATGAATATTTTAATATTCCCTATATGGTAGTCAATATTTATTCGTTATCAGTTGAAGCAGGTACCTTCTTAAGATCGGATTTACGAGCGTCTTTGTAAGTTTAGTGAGATTTCGGTCCATAAATAACAATTCCTTGGAGCGTGTGCCATTTGACCCGAATATTTTGTTCAATTTGTATAAAAGCAAAACCATGTCGCCGATTCATTGTAACCTTACAATAATTTAACGCCACGCTTCAGGTCTAATTGTGTCTGCAGTGGAATATGTGTTCTGGGTTACATTGACCTAATTATTATATGAGTGACCTATTTTTAAGGCGTAACATTTATTTTTAAGGTACTTAGTTTTAAAATTTGGAATGTTTTTTGTAGAGTCCTTTTAGCTAAATAAGTTTCTTGGGATAATAAGATCTAATTTTTTAGAGATTTTCTAATGGAGGAAGTATTCAGTTTATTGATATTACGTGTGATTTTTAACACTTTTTTATGCAGATAACAATATTTTCTATTGTATTAGTCTCGTTTTAAATTTATGACAAACTACCGTTCTTTTTCTATATAATATCTGTTGTTTAAAAATATTTTTTTTTATAGGCACACGATTTTGCGATTCAAGTTAAAATGTTTTTGATATAACTACGAAACATTTCGTCACTATTCGGTGATTTTCATCACGATTGATGTGTCTGTTTTTGTCTTTTTTCTTAAGTACCTATTAAAAAGGACTTAAAAATAGTTTATGGATACTCTACATTGAAGATGGGATGTTTCTTGTGCAAATAAACACACAATATCCTAGTTAATTGTAGAATAAATTTAATATTAATGTTATGATGTAATTTACCATATGTGGCGACAAGACTGAAGATCAATCTATCAATCTTTGCAACGTTTGAAGACAACATTTGAAGAACTTTGAATTAAGTTATTAAATAAGGTAGAAATAGAGTAATCGCTGCGACTATTATGTAACTTATGTGTTAATAACTCGTTCATACATGAACATTTATAATTATTATGATAATCTATTTAAGGCAAATATAATTTTATTTTATATAAATAGTGATACATAATTTTTTTTATCTTTTTTTATATATAATAAATTAAAACATCACACAATGATTACTACTATTTCATTTTACAATATTTAAAACAATCCACAATAACAAATATATACTTTTTGTATCTACTTTATCCGAGGACTTTCAAAATTATCCTTTTTAGAATACTTCTATGAATACCTTCCGTGATAGATAGTATCCTATCAATCCAATAATACTTTCCAAAAGGCACGGGTACATCCTTCTAAGAAGGGGATATTAACTTAAGATTAAATTGCGCTGGCCAGATGTCTTGAGGTTTTATTTCGAATTTTTCTTTTTCTGCACTGGTTTATATTGTATTTTGTTCCCTTAGCTTATTACGGTATTCTGAGAATAATAAGAAGTGATGACGCATTGTATTTTTATCTCTTCAGCGCATGAACAAGTAGGATAATAATGTACTAATAAAAAATAATGTAAGTAAGAATTGTCCTTTACATTGTTTTCTATCCGTGAAATGTTTTAGGCGACTTTCTAGCAAGGTTAAAAAAAAACTTAGTACTTTAGCTTAGTAAACACCGCTTCGAAAGTTTATTATTTCTCTTAAAGTTCCTGGACATTTACGGTACATTGTTTGTAATTTTATTAATAGGTATCACCTCATATTTACAAGATGAAACCTAGTTGCTTTAATTTTGAAATTTACATTTAAAGTACAAGTATTATTAGTAATGTAAAAAAAAATATGTCACTAGATAAATAAAAAATTAAGAAGAATACAATTTATTTTCAATTCATGGTAATTTCGTACCAAAAGATACTTATAAATATATTAAATATCGTGGTTTCAATATACAAGCTGATGGCGCACCTAAAGAAAATGGTACCCATCACCTATAGATATGTACAGAACAGTGGGAATCATAAAATATACTATGTTATATAATGTATTACCATTGCCTAATGTATTGCTCTTCCAGAGGACTATGGTATTATTATAGTATTGCCGTGTGATTCCGGCATAGAATAGACCATCCCTTCCTTTCTCATGGGGGTTGTAAGAAGCGAGTAAGGGAACTTAATGATCGAGGGATGCGCGGCAGTTCAAATTCAAAGGATTAAGGTTAAAGAATTCTGCAGTGATTATAGGCCATAAGGGGTTAACGGCTGATATGGTGATGGATTTTACCTTACAAATATTTTTCCCGCGGGTGTCGTAAGAGGCGACTAAGGGACTTAATAGTTGGAGGATGGGCAGCAGTGTCCCTCTTAAAACATTACCAAAAAGCCTAACTGCGGTTTCCAACCCGCCTGCCAAGCGTGGCAACTACTAGTAAAACCCCCCAATTAGGGTAATGAGTGATATGATGATGATGGATTTATACATCCTTATCCTGCAATTTCACTTAGATTCTATAATTCATCATTATTATATTTTGCCAAATAGGTTTTCAATTATGATCCAACAAAATTGTACCCGTATTAAATGATACGTAACATTCTATTTCTATGTCACAAACGTACGATTGGGGCCATGCGATATTGCCCGCGGTCAATGGTTGCGATGCATCTGACACGATGCTATAAATTGCCGACATTTTGTCCTATTCATAGTACGATATGTTACAATAGAAGGTCAGAGGGTTCTTGTTTATTATAGGCGGAACGATTTTCTTTTTAGAACATCCAGTTTAAAGACTATGCCTATAGATAGACGAGCTTATATTTATGAACGAACGACAAAGTAATATTAATAGTTTCCACTTTTAGCGTGAAACTTGTTGAGCTTAAAATATTAATATAGATCGTTTATATTAGTATCTTATTTTGTTTTTAGGGAACTTGTGTTATTTATGTCTATAATAAATAAGTATAGTAAAATTTTCTAGTGTGATCTTAATTATGTTTCTATATTTTGTTTATTTAGCAAAGAAACAATTTGTGATACTTAGAGTAGTTAATTTAGTTTATAAATAACGTTTATGAACGAACTGTCATTAGTGTTTTTAAATCTCAAGTATAAAACTTATTTAAATATGACAAACATAATAAATTTATAAAATTTCCGTTATTATTGTATATATAAGTGTCTTGAAGTATCTTGTTGAAAATTATTTCATTCGGAAATTTTAAACAAACATATCGCGCTAATCTTCAGTTGTAGAATTTCTACTGGCATGAATTCTTTATAATTATATCTAAATATCAACTAATCAAACTAACTAATCAAATCCTGCTCATTATTCTGAAATAATATATGGATAAAAAAACAAAACAAAACCATTATATGATAAATGACGATCGTTACCACTTTTCATCAGATGAGCCGTCTGCTTGTTTGCCATTCTATGTAAGTATCATAAAAAAATATTTCAAGTATATACCTCTATAGTCTTCATAGAATTTTTTGTCCTTAAGAATAAAAAAATAATAATATCTATCACTTACCTTGTTTTATAGCAGTGAAAAGGAATAGAATCCAATAACGCCATGACAATATCCGGTACTTCGGCATCGCCCACAGTCGCGTTTTATTGCACCATAACTTCTTTACACTCACTTTCTCTTAGTTATTAGCACTTGTTATCACAATATATTATGTTTAGACATTTTATTAATAAACCATTTAATATTCACGACTGCCTTTATTGTCACATCGCCATAGAATCTGAATATGAAGTCACAAGTTCCGAATAAATAGTCGATGTACGAAATAAAATAAAAATTAAACAATAATACTCATTCAGTATTAATTATAAATAAAACACACAAATTATGAAATTAAGAAGATTAAATTACCTTTGCTGTTTAGAAATATTTTTGGCACAAAAATATTATACAAAGATTAAAGTGTTTAAAAAATATTACCTACAAAGTGAATTTATTTTGTATAATTTAATTCTTACACTTGTCTTCGTCAAAGTTGCCTTAGGAACTAATTTAAAAATGGTATTAATTATGGATATTTTTGGTATTAACATATCGTTTTATCAATATACATATTTTTCCTGATAAAAGTTTTAAATAATATCATAATGTACAGTATGTGTACTCAATATATACTCAATACAAGCTGATGTTTAAAAAATAATGTTTCTAAGAGGTCCATGTTCCATTTTACGAAATAGAAAAAAAAGGAAGGCAGGTCCCATAATTAATTAGGACTTTTTTAATTGCGCAATAGCTACATACCTATGTACATGTACTTGAAAACGCTTAAGTTTTTATACTAATAGTGGCTTTCCCTTAAATTTGGCTCTTGGTAATAGAAAAACGATAAAACCCACAGCCTCAATCATCTATCTTTTAACCGAAATCCACTTTTTGGAGTACAAACAAAAACCAGATTATCATCTACATTATTATACAGGCAAAAACTGTACAAAAAGTCACCTAGCAAATGTCCTAGGTGCCCGCTTAATGCGGACGGTCCGTTCTCTTATCGGACGACATCAGTCCCAACATGATAATAAAGGGTTTGCTTCAACCCTTCCAACGATCGTACATTTTATTCAATGTACCTCCGATATATCTTCGAGTGACGTAACTTTTCGGACGCTGTCGTACCCTCGCTCGTTCTTGCTGCTAAGATATTTATTGTTCTTATGCCTTTTAAATCGTTTTGGAAGTTCTTTAACGAAAGTTTAGTCTTTTCATGTGGTTATCACGGGTCTATTAACTTATATTGTATATACCTATATAGCAAATCTTTACTTATAAATATAGTGTATATATTCCAGTCACGCGGACAAAGTTGCAGTTAAAAATATTAATTATTATTAATAAAAGTTTTTAGAAAGCCACCTGATGAAAAATCATCCTCGCCTACAGTAATGAATATATATATATATATATATATATATATAGAATAGCTACCTGACGGAGAAAACCCAAGTGACTCAGAGATATCCGTGCAGACGGTACTTTTACAATGTTTTACTCTGGCAAAATTTTACATAAGGGACATAAAAAATCAACAAAGCCGAAAAATAAACTGCATAAAAGTTGCAAAAATTGTTGAACTTTTTATGACCAAAGTGTTTCATACTAATAGAAAAAATATGCAAAGCATTGCTTTGCCATTGGAGGATATTGTCAGTAGTTGGCATGCTTGGCAGACGAGTTAGCAGCCACAGTTAGGCTTTGTGCTGTTTCAATAGGAACGCTGCTGCTTATCCCTCAACCATTAAGTTCCCTCAGTAGACTCTTACGAAATCCACAGAAAAGGAAGGGAGTAGATAATGTGTGTGCGCGGGCGTTATAAAATAAAATTTAAATTAATTACAAGTGCAATTTTTTTTGTGCAAAAACATTAAAAAAGATATTTTCTCGAAGTATAGTAATTTCATTCTTGCCTACGTGTGTAACATATACATAAAATATCGCCAATTTTTGATGTTTATCAAAAATAAAGTTAAATTAACAACCTCCAATTTTATGACGGTGTTTAAAAATATACTACATGAGCATCAAAAATTTTATAACGAACTAAATTTCGTTTTCGCAGTATCTATATAAACTCCAATAACCTATTTGTTGGCAGTATCAACAAAGTTCGAGAACATCAGATGCCGGCAAATCGAAATCGTAGCCAGCTACTTTATGTTTCGTATGGAATATAAGATTTTACGATAAGGCTAAGAGGAAAAAAGTCTAGACTGCTTGTTTGGGTGATACGTAGAATATATTTTGTTAGCAAAGATAAACAATCTGTCGCTATTTTAGACCTCTTACGAGATAAAGAGGAAAATGTCTTTTTGATTATTAATTCATTTTATTTAATAATGACTTATATTCTAGATTACATGGGCAAAGCGGCAGTAAACAGTTAGTACAGTGAGTATACTATTAGTAAAAATTTTAGAATCGTCCCACATATGGTCTAATAGATATATTCAATTGTACAAAAACAGCCTATAGAAAAGGGGTTATTCAAATTGTAAGCAAATGACATGCTTTTGATATATTATTGAGCTTTTCTGCATATTTTTTAAACGTAACGTTACGTCACATAAACTTAATATAACTTTTCTTTTTTGAGCTGATTTAACTTGTGGTTGCTATTTAGTGTGAGTATATGTGTGTGTTTGTGTATGTATGTACGTGTATACGTATATGTATGTATGTATGTGTATATGTATGTATGTGTTGTATATGTATGCGTATATTTGTGTATTGGTGCATATGTATATATTTATTATTGAATGTATATATCTGTTGCGTATGTGTAAAAATATTATTGTGACTTCAACGTTTGCCTACCTATTTGATTTGTTTATTTTTTCTGCATTTCCTTTAACAATTGTCAACTACATAACCTACGAAATTAATTTAGAAAAACCTGTTATTGGCCATACTATTTTGTTATAAAATGTTTGTTAATTTTATTTGTAAACAGCTGTTGGTTTTTTAAAATAAATAAATAAATATAAAAACACAAATTCTAACATTCATAATATGAATATTTTGCTAACTTATAAATATAACTAACATTGTGAGATTATCAAACCACTTTTGCGCAAAATTGAAAGAATAATACAGTCAATTCCATTGAAAAGTTTGTATAAACCACAAATATTTAAGTTCGCATTCGGGCTCTGAGTTTATGTCCCCGACGATTTACGCATATTCCAGTTTTGTGCTGGAAACGAATATTTATTTGTGTCAGAATTAAATTCCGTTGAATAAACGTTAAATGATTAAACGGTCGATTGAATATTTTAAGCTCCTAAAATATATATACACCGACATGTAGTAGCTATTTTCAATGGATTACAATAATATACAGTAAGAGTATCGTACCCACATTTCACAAGATACAAAAAATAATATACTAATTTCATATTTATTTAATTTTTCATAATCTATATTTTTAATATATATGAATGAATAAATACGTCTGACGATGATGTTTCGTGATCGATATTTATTCCACGAAATCACCACAAATCTTATGTTTCAAATGAAAAAATATTGAATTTCGGCATTATGACTGATAGCTATTACTGATGAGCTCTCTGTTCCTGACGGATGACAAAATTTTATATTACAACGTTGAAAAAAGAATTAAATTGTAAATATGAACACATTTTGCTCCGCATTTTGAAGGGAATAGTCGAGAAATAACGCGATTTCTATATTTAACTACCACTCAATTATGACTCAACATAGAACATAACATTTATCCCAAGAGGGTTTAATGAACTTGTTTAAATTAATTTTATTTGCTCACAACAAATGAATTTATCCAGGTATTATTTTGTAGTGTATTCATCATAACAGCTACAGTTGATGAATGTACACGCATTTATTGCCTGTTGCTGTTACCTGTATGAATGCTTATTGGGACAGTTATTATATACCTACATCGGATTTGGAGACTTTATTTCTCAGTAAATCTACCAAAGTTTTTCATATTAAATTGGTTGATTAAAATCTTTGCTTTAATCGGAGAGATAGACAAAATATTAAATTAAAATATAATGTTTTGGCTTCCGATAGCTCAAATGTGTGATTTTTTAGGTTTATAAATCAGCAAAGTATAACCACTAAAAGACGACGCTCTTATAAAAGTACATACGTGTCTGCTTATTTTAAAATTAGGTACAAATTAACGTCTCCATTTTAATTAAAATATATATGCAAACATTTAATTAAAAAGTTTACTTAAGTAAGAAAATGTTACTTGTAACCGGGTTTGAAATCCTTTGTCACTGTCAATACATCTCTAGAACTAAGTATCAATATAAATACCTTAAGCTCTCCGTCGCAGCTGCTACCCGAACTAATTAACTTCTGCTAAGCAAAATACTTGAGACTACCGCGTAATTATTTTCTAGCTAGACTGCTCTCTTCAGATATAACAAAGTAACATATTGTTAAGTATATTTACCCGCTTTATTAGAAAAAAAGATTTTTTTTACGACTTAGTAGAGAAAAAAACTTGAGAACAGATTATTACATTTTATATTACTCCTAGATGATTAAATATAGATTTTTTTGCCATTAAGGAGAAAGTTTGGCAAAAAGAAGCTTATGCCATACTTAAGTCATAATTTTTCCCTTACTTGCTTAGAGTAATTCTCTTTTTATTGTTTCTTTTCTTTTCATTTTTCCTAATGTATTTCTATGACATTATCATTAAATCTAAACGTTTCATAATATAATTGGAATGGTGTGTATAATATTAAATAATATTTTTATCATTACCACTCGTATAAGGGGATTGCCTTTAATGCCAATAGTTTTTAGGGCACTATCAAGCTTTTTTTCTTTAACTTCTTATAAAAAAAACCCCAAACTCATCATCATCACAAGACGTTAACTGTACATACTGAACATAGGCCTCCCCTTATTAAAGTGTTTTGCTAGTAGTTGCCACATTTGGCAGGCGGTTCGGCAACCGCGTTTATGCTTTTGAAAAATTACTGTACTTTTAAAACGGTACTGTAAAAGTTTACGTAGATAAGTGACAATATTCAAACTCTCAGCATAGATAAAATAAAGCCCACCGTAACGAAGTGACCAAGAACTAACCGCGAAGATTTCCAAAGGGATGTCGACCTGATTGCTTTTATTGCAAGGAACAGGATTGCTAATTCTCATTACTAAGAAATTATAATCTCCGCCTATGCCAATTAAGCATAATAGGTTTTTTAATGGCTAGAA